GTGTGTCGTTCAGCGAAGGCCGTCGGCGTGAGAACTGTCGCTGCAACCGTTACACGAACGTGCTTCCGTACGATTTCAATAGGGTGGTCCTGAAGGACCGTTCGTTTGGACCTAATTCGTATATCAACGCCAGCTTCGTGGCGGTGCCAGTCGGCGAGTTAGACGAGGTGTTGTACTACATCGCCACGCAGGGGCCCTTGCCGAATACCGTCGATCACTTTTGGCAGATGGTCTGGGAACAGAAGGTGCCAACGATCATAATGCTGACCGATCTGTTCGAGTCTGGCCTGCCAAAATGTTACCAGTACTGGCCAGACGTCAACGAGAGCCTCGAGAGCAAGTGTCTGTTGATCAGCTGCATACGCGAAGAACAGCTGGACAAAAGTGTGATGCGTGAATTTTCGATCATACACGTGCCGACTCAGCAGGAGCTAACCACAACCCAACTGCACTTCAAGGGATGGCCAGACCACGGTGCTCCGCGCAAACCGCAGCATTTCCTGGAATTCATGGCACTGGTCAACGCCGCGCGGCCAGAAAGTGCGGTTGGCATGGTCAGTCACGACGGCTCTCGCAGCAGCAGGTCACCCATAACCATAGTGCACTGCAGTGCCGGCATCGGTCGCACTGGTGTCTATGTTATGGTTGAGACACTTATGAAGCTGTTGGACGCGAACCTGCCGATCAGGCCTCTCGAGATCATCAGGTTGCTCAGAAATCAACGGGTAGGCATGATTCAGACGGAGGAACAGTTGAAATTCGTTTGCGACGTGGTTTTAACCTACGGTTCGAAACGTCCCCGTACCTCTGATAAGTGAACGTGAACACTGTCGACCGCGCAAGCATTGCGTTGTTGTCTTGCTTCTCCTGTTGCTTTCGATATAGTTCTTATTACGTACATTGTTTTTGTTCTCTCGCGAAGTCCCCGTTTTGCCGAACAGCGCCGCTCATTGACCTACCCGTCGTCAACAACCTCTTGTAGAATTGAATCGTTTAATATTTATTTTTCGAGGGCGATCACTCTTACACGGTATCTGCAGTATCTTCTTGAAAGTTTTACACACTGCGTTGTCATACCGATGATTAATTTGTTTTCACATCGCACTTTTCAATTTACTTCAGTACTAATGTTATACTGTAATTTTTTTATGTAACGGATGCTGTTTTTATCTGCTGGCAGTTATTACAGATAAAATTTGCAAAAAGAATAATCGCGAATGCAAAATTTGAGTCATGAACCATGGCTTCTCTGTGGTTAAGTGTATGATGTCGTTGTT